TAGTCTTCCTCATTTTTGTAATACAGAAATATATCTATCCCAGAACATAGTCTTTGTTGCTAAGCCGTTAAGCCCCTCACTTATACTCTAAAACACTCATGACCTCGTTGCTTCAGTTGGCTTCTGTTGGCACTGGCACAATGTCTTTCATGCTTTGCAGCACACTTCTTTATTGCAGTTCATCGTATCTCGAGAAAATACCAGTCATAGCATTTGCTGCAGCGTTGCGCAATGACTGATGCTGCAGTGACAGGTGCACGTTGCATCATGCCCTGCGTTGCAGCGGGTTGCCGCAAGGTCTAGTGCATCATGAAGCTTTGCATACAGCTGCACTGCCTTGCAATCCGTTCTGTCGCGGTACTTTGTGCGGAATGTCAGCAAGTAGTCACGTTGCATCACTGCACCGGCATACCTTGCGTTGCAATAGCAATACGTTGCAGGCATCGTGTGCCACTGCAGAACATTTTCTTACGGTGTCTTCTGCAAAGCCCACAAATTTTCACTGATTTCAGTGAGCTCCATGCGCAGCACAAGTTCGGTGCCGTGAGTCCATCGTATGTGTCACGGACAATGCATTCGTTTTGGCAAGACATGCACGACCTCTTTTTTTCATACGACATACAATGCACGTCCACATACATGCCAAGCGTCGGAACACACACACACACATGTAGATCCCGGTCGGTGCCGGTTGTCTCCTTTATTCTCATCTCCTTTCCTTCCTTGATTTATTTTGTCTCAAATTGTTTATCTGCTGTATTTTAGTTAGTAATGGGAGCTCTCGAAACCTTGCAACTCAGAAGATGAAACGAGCTTACAGCATCTGAAAAAGTATATTCAGAAGATAATTGGATCTCAAGGCCAGATAAAATATCTCTAACTCTAGCAGCACTACGGTGAAACTTGCCGCAGGTACAGAGCTATGCGTCCATAGCTCTTTCCACCCATTCCGCTAGCTTCGTTGGCTGGCATCACCGAATAGGCTGCCAGCCCCCTGCTTTTCTTTACACTCAAAGTCCTTAGACAGGACTTCCACACGCACACACAACCCCGGTTGAAACCAGTTGTAAACAGAGGAGCTAGACAAGAGCTGAAAATCAGCATGGATGAAGCATCCTTGATATCAGTCACAAGCATGGCCCTCTTCGTTGGACCGTCAACCATGCTTGCGAGACGGCCCCCCTTCACTCTTGATCTACTTTCCATCATAATCAATGTTAGCTACAACTCAAGATCCTTGGAAACAGGATTTTCACACACACACACACGAGCCCCGGTTAAACCCAGTTGTCAACAGAACAACAAGACAAATTAGAAAGGACCCAAGTCAGTACAAAATCGGTAATGTCTTTCGTCGTCCTGTTTTCTGTCGTCGTAACTTGATATGAAGGTGGAACAGAATGGAACGAAACGAACAAGCACGGCTGCTGGGTATCCTTTGGGTGGCGAAACGAGCTACGGGATACTTGGAAATCGACTTTCAGAACGAAATGAAGATGAACACAACGA